GTGTGTGTCTGTGCACATCTCTGTGTAAGGCTGTGTGTGTGTGTGTGGCAGTGCACATCTCTGTGTAAGGCAGGATGTGTGTGTGTCTGTGTGTGTGTGTCTGTGCACATCTGTGTGTTAGGCAGTGTGTGTGTGTCTGTGTGTGTGTGCCTGTGCACATCCCTGTGTAAGGCCGTGTGTGTGTGTCTGCGCACATGTCTGTGTAAGGCAGTATGTGTGTGTCTGTGCACATCTCTGTGTAAGGCAGTGTGTGTGTGTCTGCGCACATCTCTGTGTAAGGCAGTGTGTGTGTGTCTGTGCACATCTCTGTGTCAGGCAGTTTGTGTGTGTGTGTCTGTGCACATCTCTGTGTAAGGCAGTGTGTGTGTGTGTCTGTGCACATCTCTGTGTAAGGCTGTGTGTCTGTGTGTGTGTGTGTCTGTGCACATCTTTGTGTAAGGCAGTGTGTGTGTGTGTCTGTCTGTGTGTGTGTGTGTGTCTGTGCACATCTCTGTGCAAGGCTGTGTGTATGTGTGTGTGTCTGTGCACATCTCTGTGTAAGGCTGTGTGTCTGTGTGTGTGTGTGTGTGTGTCTGTGCACATCTCTGTGTAAGGCAGTGTGTGTGTGTGTCTGTGCACATCTCTGTGTAAGGCTGTGTGTCTGTGTGTGTGTGTGTCTGTGCACATCTTTGTGTAAGGCAGTGTGTGTGTGTGTGTGTCTGTGCACATCTCTGTGTAAGGCAGTGTGTGTGTGTCTGTGCACATCTCTGTGTAAGGCCGTGTGTGTGTGTGTCTGTGTGTTTTTGTGTGAGTGTCTGTATCTGTGCACATCTCTGTGTAAGGCTGTGTGTGTGTGTCTGTGCACATCTCTGTGTAAGGCAATCTGTGTGTGTGTCTGTCTGTCTGTGTAAGTGTGTGTGTGTCTGTGCACATCTTTGTGTAAGGCAGTGTGAGTGTGTGTCTGTGTGTCTGTGTGTGTGTCTGTGCACATCTCTGTGTAAGGCAGTGTGTGTGTGTGTCTGTGCACATCTCTGCGTAAGGTAGTGTGTGTGTTTCTGTACACATCTTTGTGTAAGGCTGTGTGTGTGTGTCTGTGTATTTGTGTCTGTGCACATCTCTGTGTAAGGCAGTGTGTCTGTGTGTGTTTGTGTGTCTGTGCACATCTCTGTCTAAGGCTGTGTGTGTGTGTCTGTGCACATCTCTGCGTAAGGCAGTGTGTGTGTGTCTGTGTGTGTGTGTCTGTGCACAACTTTGTGTAAGGCAGTGTGTGTGTGTCTGTGCACATCTCTGTGTAAGGCTGTGTGTGTGTGTGTGTCTGTGTCTGTGCACATCTCTGTGTAAGGCAGTGTGTGTGTGTCTGTGCACTTCTCTGTCTAAGGCAGTGTGTGTGTGTGTCTGTGCACATCTCTGTGTAAGGCTGTGTGTGTGTGTCTGTGTGTGTGTGTCTGTGCATATCCCTGTGTCAGGCAGTGTGTCTGTGTGTGTGTCTGTGCACATCTCTGTGTAAGGCAGTGTGTGTGTGTCTATGCACATCTCTGTGTAAGACAGTGTGTGTGTGTCTGTGTGAGTGAGTGAGTGAGAGTGAGTGTGTGTGTCTGTGTCTGTGTGTGTGTGTCTGTGTGTGTGTGTGTGTGTGTGTGTGTGTGTGTGAGCTGTCCCTTCCAGATGCCCAGTGCTCCCTGCATGTTCTGACCGGGGAGGGGGCTGAGGTCAGGGTGCTTCCCACCTCCCCGCCCGTGATCGGGGTCAGAGGTGGGGTGGGGGGAGCAGGTTGGAATTGGTTGTGGAGTGCAACAGGGTGGGCTAACTTTGTACCCACCTGGGGACAGATCGTATGGGGTGGTGAGGGCTTGTCGGGGTGGGGGAGTAGATTATGTGTGACCAGCATCAGCTGTTCCCTGTTCCCCCTCGGGTCACTACAGTGACCAGGCGCTACACTAATTCACTTCGCTGTCGAGAGGACTGTGGCAGCTGTATCTAGTACAATGGGCCGCCTCTGTCTGGGGGAGTTTGTTTGGGGGGTGGGGCCCTTGAAACCAGGTTTACAGGAGGTTTCCTTCTGCCCTGCCCCTCCCTGTCTGTATCTCAACTGGAGTCTTAATGACCTGGAATTCCCAGCAGATTAAATAAACAAAAAGGAGCAGGGTTTGACCCAGAAATTAGCGAGTGTCACTTCTCTGCTGGGTTCAGCACTCTGTGTGCGTTTTAGCTCCTGGGAAACGAGCCCCCAGGGGGCGGTGTGAGGGGCTGTTGGTCGGGGGGGAGTGGGTTGTGGTTGGGGGTTGGGGGTTAGTCCTGCAGTAACCGAGGGGGAGATGGGGTTCCCACAGGGACCACAATCAGCTTACTCTGACAGTGAGTGGGGACAGGGATTGATACTGGGGGAGCTGGGAAACAGGCCCTTCAGCCCAGCTATACAGTGCTGCTGTTCCTGCCCCCCCCCCCCTCCCCAAGGCCTCCAGCCACCTCCTACTCACGTACTCACCCCTTTCTCTCCCTTTACCATCGCCCCAGAGCCTGAAGGATCCTCCTTTTGCTGCTGTAACTGGACGGGAAAGGGTTACTGTTTGTGTAGCCAATGCAGTGGGGAGTTGGTAATAACCTGATCTGCTTCATGGGGGAGCAGTTTGAGAGACTCCGATAATCGTTTCTGTTAATGATTTGCTTCATTCCTTTCAGCTCTGATGAAATGAAATTCCCAGCCTTAATCACGTTAATTGCTAATCAAGTTTCAAATCATATTTCAGCCTCTCTGTGGAACTCGCTGCTGTGGTCTGTTACTGCTCTGTTTCCCTGCTACATTCATACAAGTTAGAGAGGAAGGGGGTGCTGGCGCGAATAGGATCAGCTCCCACCCCTCCTGCCCATGCTCTCTCACTTTGTTTGTCTCATTTTTCCCTTGACTTTTTTTTTCTCTCGCTCTTTCTCTTCTATCTGTTTCTATTTTTCTCCTTTTTTCTGTCTTCCTCTCTGCCTCTGTCGCTGCCCTATTCTGTCTATGGGACACCTTCCCCGTCTGTATGTCTGTCTCTGTCTGTCCCTCTGTCTCTGTCTCGTCTCTCTCTCTGTTTCTCTGTCTGTCTGTCTCTCTCTGTCTATCTCTGTCTGCCTCTCTCTGTCTCTGTCTCTGTCTCTCTCTCGTGTCTCTCTCTCTGATTCTCTGTCTGTTTGTCTGTCTCTCTCTCTCTGTTTCTGTCTGTTTCTGTCTCGTCTCTCTCTCTGTTTCTCTCTCTGTCTGTCTCTCTCTCTCTGTCTGTCTCTCTCTGTCTCTCTCTGTCTCTGTCTCGTCTCTCTCTCTGTCTGTCTCTCTCTCTCTGTCTGTCTCTGTCTGTCTCTCTCTGTCTCTGTCTCTGTCTCTTGTCTCTTTCTCTGTCTGTTTGTCTGTCTCTCTCTGTCTGTCTCACTCTCACTATCTCTCTGTCTCTCCCCAACAATGCTGCTGCCAGATCTACCGAGTTTCTCTAGCATTTTCTGGGTAAGCTGATGAGGAATGCCAGAATTTGGGAACAAAAGGGACAGATGCTGGAGTCAGAGATAACACAGCGTGGAGCTGGAGGAACACAGCAGGCCAGGCAGTACCAGAGGAGCAGGAAAGCTGGCGTTGCGGATCAGGACCCTTCTTCAGAGACTGGTGTGTAAGGAAGGTCAATATTGGGATCCCTTGCT